TGAATTGAAATAACTCTGAATTACTAAGTTGTAATTTTTAGTCTGACTTTGTGCTCCTTGGAAGGTTAAGGTTACTCGTAATTTACACGAACTATATCAGCTGTCTGTGTATTACCGTTCTGATTAACTCTAAAGGCCTCAGCCTCGAACTTAGCGGGCAGCGGGGCGGCGGCGGCGGCGGGGCGGGAGCGGCAGGATCTTTTGCGTAAAATCAAATAGACCGGTTCTCGAAAACAGCGGCGCGGCAGCGGGGCGGCAGCGGGCNTCGAACCACATCGGCACGTCGATCTGTGCTTCTTTTTTGGGAAAACTCACAACTTTCCATTATAAAACTACTGCTAAGGGCATAGGACCATACGGGCGGTATGTTATGTAATTTTATTATTGCGGAGTTACTCAAGGGACTATAATTGGTCCGCAATCGTATGTTGTGCAAATACACATCAAATGTTATTTCTAAAGAATAAAAACTTGTAGTTGAAGTACCTATGTGGCTTACGTAAAAAATACCATGCAAAGTTTTTTCTAACATAAAATAAAGCCTTCAAGGAACCCGAAAACGCGTCTTTTTTGCTAGTCAGTAGTAGTAAATCGGAGCTCTATTTATAGTCTTTAGGGAAACCGAAATTCATCAATCATACGCAACCATCTTTTTTTCGTAAAATCTTATAGCTGAGAGAAACCCTGTGAGACAATTCTGACCGGTGTGCGATAAGTCGTAATAGTAGATCCTTAACCTCAATTGGCATAACGTCTAGCTTGCCTTTTATTCAGCAGACCATTATTCAAAAATCTAATAGGATTATGCATTGAAGACATAAGCCGGCTAATGACTGGACACTCCCTTGACATTAACAGTCTCTTTAGGCTTAAAAAGTTAATTTATCTTGCAAGTTTCGTCACTATAGTCCACTTTCAGAAGCGTGTCTATAAGCGTAGCGGGCAGCGGGAAACAGAAGCGGAATAGATTTAATGTTTATCCAATATTGAATTACAACATTTTTTTCCAACTAATTCAGTGTTACAGTTTACAGTGCCCTTACATTACAACACTGCATGTGATGTGTACCTTAAAAAATCCTAGAAAAAATATTTTAAATTGAACGAAAATGAAATAAAAAATGGCCAAGAACTGAAAATAATGTCACGAGAAAGGGAATAATGTCGATGAAGAGGCATAACTTCATGAAAACTCTCCGCAATCGCTACCTCCTATACATGGACATACAACCTTATATTTAAACATAATAAACATTGCGTTGACATTAAGTACGAGTACACTCGTATCTTAACACCATTAGAACATTTCAGGGGCTATTGTTCTATTACCCCATCGATCATAAGCCATACTAAGGAGACTCTTATTCTCTAATGGACTTAGCAGGTATTATATTATGTTGCCCAATATTACAATTACAATAAGACCGCAAATACTGTTGCAGCCATGTATTTAAAAAACGAAGACCAAATGATAACTACGGCAGCATACACAATAAGTAAAAAAACTTTATATCATGACTGAGACAGATTGGTAGGTATATGAATTTTGTTTTACTATTACTGATGAAATCTGTTTGCATTAAATACTACTTGCACTAGAAAATGGACAGGTGTATCTATACGAGTAGATAATAACGGGGATTCATATACAGCAGACGAATAAATGTAATGTATCTTTCCTTTCCTATCTTTTCTATCCTCGTTCCTTGGTATAACTGTGTTCCGTTAAAATATGTTCCCGCTGTTACAATTTTGAAATGTAAATAAGGTATTACTTCACCTGATATTAGATTCTAGTCTTTAGCGTAATTATGAATAGCATTTGCGGACATGCAAGTTCTTACGAAACAAAGGCCCGATTGGGATCAATAGATTGGCTTCGATACAGAGCGGTTACAAAAGAGATGATAGACGATAATGAGTGCTAATAGGAAGATGATATGGACCAGAGAACGACATAAGCATAGAAGGGAGTTTCTAAGAAGCTAGCGTAAGTATAAAAAAGTATAAAGAAAACGCTATCTATTGGTGAAAATCGTCTGAAAATCCGTCTAGTTAGTAGTTTTTTTTAGTGTATCGCTAACAGAGACAGACGCGGCAGAGGACTTTAGTTTATTCCAATCGGTTACCGTTTTTAGTCCCTTATATTCTTCAAATATACAGATCATTATGTAGTATAATGAGATTAATTAGGTATGTTTCTTTCTTAATTTTACATGCGTCAACAACCCATCAGTGCGCTTACAATATTATTCTATCACAATATTATAAACTAGCTTTCCGCCCGCGGCTTCGCCCGCGTGGAATTTTGTCTGTCACAGAAAAACTTTATCGCGCGCGTCCCTGTTTCAAAAACCGGGATAAAAACTATCCTATGTTCTTTCCCGGGACTCAAACTATCTCTATGCCAAATTTCATCAAAATCGGTTGCGAGGTTTAAGCGGGAAAGCGTAACAGACAGACAGACAGACAGACAGACAGACAGACAGAGTTACTTTCGCATTTATAATATTAGTTGGGATTGGGATGTACGCAAAGCTAACATAAGTAAAGTTTGCACACATGCTTCTGTATTTTCCGTTCACCGTATGAGCGATGATATGCGTTGCGATGAGCTATTGTCATAGCTGGGCTATTGAAACAGTACTTATCAGGTTGAAGAGACCTAATTAAGATGATGGACCGTCAATCTGTGTGGACTGATCTTGTTACAGCATTGTCTTGTTAGTGAAACAATATTAGTCATTAGCTAAGTAACGTAAGACATCTAAAGTGGTACAGTCCGCGCCATTACATACTGTCAATATTGCAAACTACTACAGTAAACAACCATTGACGCTGAATTGAAATAAATCTGAATTACTAAATTGTAATTTTGAGTCTGACTTTGTGCTCCCTGGAAGGTTAAGGTTACTCGTAATTTACACGAACTAATATCAGCTGTCTGTGTATTACCGTTCTGATTAACTCTAAAGCAGGGTTTCCCAAACTATGAGTCGCGACCTAGTGGTGGGTCGTGAGCGAACATTGAGTGGGCCCTGTCTGTAGAACCCTACAAATCCAAGTCCTTTATTTAGTCATATTGTTAACGGTTAAATTTCCTATAAGTGGCTCCCGAGTTTGGGAACTTGTATTAGATAATTCGTAGCCCAGACAACTTTGGGTACCACTGCTCTAAAGCAATAACATCGAATCTCAATCATATTTCAATTTGTTATTATTTGCTCTTACGCCATCATTTGAAAGTGGATTCTTATTGACCTTTCTTAATAGCTTTTCTTAATCGTCGTAAGTACACTTTTATCGTTTACCTACCGTTGTTTTGAGGTCGCTCAGGCCCATTACGCGGTGACAGGCAAAGGGCTCAAATGTCAGAAGCGTGCGCGCGCGCAGCGATTTATACGTACCGATTTAGTGCCCATAATAGCTTTATAAACAAGTGAAGTGAGGTATCCGTGCTAATCTTTACGGGGCGGAAACTCGAGAAGTAGGCACTTAAGAGAACGGCTTTATCTGTGTAGGGGAAAGGCTGGCAAATATTAATCCACTTAGAAAATCAATCAACAATCATAAGGTAAAGAATAGACTAATAATGTCGAAACTATACTAAGATTAAATCTTAATTAACCGTTTAGTTTTGACCAACCTGTCCATCTGTGTCTGAAATCATGTTAAAATACTTGCCGGTCGCTGACACTGATTCGTCGAAATATTTTGAAAACATACCTGAAAAAGATGAAACAATAAATAAGTCAACGTCATCATAAATAAATATTGGTATTGCAGACATAAGAGGTAAATATAAGTAGTGTAAATAGGTTTTTTTTTTTAATTTATTACCTAATTAAATCGTATCCCGATTCGCTGTTAACATCCATCATCTCTAGACTCAAAGCAGATATTATCTTTTGAAATATTACACCGACACAAGACTTATTGCGATCTAAATGCTTTCATATTCTCCTCAATAACTTATCGCAATAAAGTATACAATGCCGCTACTTTCTGACTTTGTTTCAATTCTGCAACCGCAGTGTACATATGATATCAATATCATGATCAATATGCGGTCTGCCGTTCCCATTTCGTTTCCTACATTTCATTACGTGCAAATAGAAATCTAGGATTTATGTAAACTAGAGATATTTGTTTGTTTAGTTGATTTAGGTTATGAATTGAGGTAACATAAAATAAATTAGTACTTCGTAATCATCATCATCATCATCAACAGCCCTTTACAGTCCACTGCTGGACTATGAGCCTCCTCCACTATAGTTATATGGTTTTGCCATCGTCCCCATTTTGCTTGACAGACGGGTTGGAAATCGCAGTTTCAAAGATTGATGGCTTTCAGAGAGCGCAGCTGCCCGTTCTGTTTGATGTGTAGTCCCTAAGTCGCTTCTTACGGTACCCGCGGGAAAACACAGGAGTTGCAGTGGTGGGAACGAGAGGTGGGAATAGTCCCGTACCCGCGGGAAGAGTAGGAGTTAGTGACAAATGTATTCTACTCTGCCGTCACCACATGGCTTGTAATAATAGCACAATATTATGTAGATGCCAGGAGTGAATGCCCTCGGTAAGGAATTCGTAAATCGATACGCGATGACTTTATGAGTGTGTCGGTGGAATACAAATTGCTGCAGATAGCTATAAACTAGTCAAAATGTAAATGCTGCTTCCGTCCGTGGAGTTTATTCAAGAAGGTCGTTTACAACAAAGACTTTATTAGAGTATCAAATCCTGAAATTAGGTACTCTTTTAAAGAAAGAAAATGAATAGTCATAGAGTGGTGACAGCTTAGACAGCTTACATGAAAGACAAGAAATGTCACAGATATTGACGTTACATGTAAAAGTGTGTGATAATTTATTAATATTATTTTACCTACGCTATATGGAATAATTACTACTTATAATAATATCTTAAAATAATTTGTGAAGCGCACTGTGAAACTGAATATAGGCACCATTAGATTAACAGACTCATAGAAACAGACAAAACGATAATGTCCTCAAAGTCAAAGTGGAAAACATTATTTTACATGTTGGAGAAGCTGCAGTGCTACAGCTTAGTCTTCTTCCTCACGCCTTGCTACTTCATCTTCCACCTGATCATAGTTCGGCCTCAGATCGTGGAAATGTACGAGTTCGGGACAGCACGACACTGGTTCCACATCATCATGTCGTCATTTTGCTTCATGAACGTCGTTGGGAACATGTTTATGGCCATATTTACTGATACCAGCTTGAAAATGTTTCGGAGAACCACAAATGTGAACGCAGATGAAAAGTATTGTGAATTGTGCAAGAAACACCAACCACCGAAGAGCTGGCATTGCGACCGCTGTAACATTTGCATTCTTAGAAGAGACCACCACTGCTTCTTCTTCTCCCGCTGCGTTGGACTGTACAACCAAAGATACTATATTCTGTACCTTATCTACATCCTCATATCTGTGGTCTACTCAACCTACTACGACTACTTCTTCATATCTTCCAAATATGAAGACTACGGCTTCATATTCGCAGTAGTTCAGATCTTCAATCCTGTGGTCAGGCTTATGACAGCAGATGCGTTGGGCATCAAAGAACTATACGTATTGTTTTTCATTCTAAACCTGGTACTTGTGTGTTGGATAACTTTACTTGTCTGGTTCCACGTGAAGAATGCAATGGCAGGGATTACAGCGTATGAGTTTAAAAGCCAAACTGTAGACATATCCAAGTGGAAGACCAACATGTTGATGGTATTTGGAACAAAGTGGTATTTAGCGATTTTCTTTCCGTTTGTTGATAGTCCGTTTCCAGAAGTTTGTAGTGAAGAGGCAAAAGTGTCGTAAGTAATCAGTATCGTTACTAAATAAATATTGTTATAACCGTAATGTAATTTTTATTCATATCCTTCTCGTATTTCATAAGCTGCAATACTTTTCATCAATATGCGTCATTTNTATCATTTATCATTAAAATAATGATCCAATTCTACCGATAGTCTAATTTCAAAGACGGCCATTACAACATTTAATACAGCTTCTTCTGCATCGATAAAAAGCGTTTATTCAAATAATTAGTTGCCCAATAGATGGCGCAACCGATACAGGCTGTGTGCCCTGATGACCCCATCCGAGTTAATTATTCAAACTGGAATTGAAACTTCACACTTTCATTTATTACAAAAGAAGACTAATTTTAATTGAGTTAAAACGCTAGAGTTTTACCTCTATAGTAATTGATATCCATCAGCCCGTAAAATTAAGTTTGTGCTTTTCGTAAATATAGTCTAGAAATAGACTACAGTTACATGGTGGTAAATTTTAAGCCACTATACGTGTGGTCTGGTCACCCACATTGCACGTCTAATGTTATTTAGTTCCTATGTCATTAACATCATAACATTGTGACCATGCTGTGACCTAAGAATAAGCAATAAACGCCTCAATTTAAAACTCATTAGCGGGTAAGAGTGTTATAATTACAGCCAACACAACACTGTATACTCTCTATAACTCTGCCACCACACGTAACGTAACAGTTGCGTAAACATACGACGAATGCAAATATTGAACGACAGGAAGACACGCGTTCCTAGAAGCTATTGGAGCTACTCACACATTGAATAATAAATAAATCATTATAATTGTTACTGAAGCAGAGCCTGTACCTACGTCAGAAAACAAACATTTTGTTGGGAAAATACACCAAGATACAACTGTGTCTTACTATTTAGTTTAGTGAGCATCTAAATAAATACATATTATAAGTATGGTGATATTCACAATCGACAGCACATCAGAATATACATTTTTGTTGCAAAATCGCCCCTATCATAACTGGATAAGATGCCACAGTGTTGACGTTGATGTTTTTTTATGCTGAACAAGGCAGGTATTTGACCGCAATCACACCTGATGTTAAGTGAGATGCAGTCTAGGATAGTACATATCTGCCCTGTAAGTGCCTATTCACTCTCGCCTTGAAAAAGGCCCGGATTATAGTGTTCGGGAAAGGCATACGAAATGAGATGAGAATGTGCTGGCTGTACTTTCATAAAATGTGTAGCTGAATCAGTTATGTTTGTTCCAAGGCCTCTCTTAACACTGGGCGGAAACTACACACTGTAGATTTAATTGGCTAAATTAGAGGGCTAATCAAGCACGTTGTCACCTGCCACGTAACGCTTGCGCAAGCGCAGCGGACACACGCATGCAAATGTCGCGCGCCAGGAAGACACGCGTTCCTACTTATACGTATATGTACTGGACTTGGTATAGGTTACTCAATACATACAGGTGCGTAGTGGGTACTAAGGGTAGAACCCATTTGCTTAAAATCTGTGTGCCATGTCATTCACAGTTAGGAGTTACTATTCTCAGCAATATAATTACACGCGAGCGATAAGGATGGGTAGCTTGGGGTCATTGGACAAAATTCTACGTGCTCGGCGACCAGACTACAGTAACGCACACATTTTAAGCCTAAAATTTCAATTATAACGACATTTTTATAACTCTATTATCAAAATATCAATAAATTCGCATCTCTCCAGAAGATGAATGACCGAATGAAGTTAGTAAAAGATGATTCTCCTATATGGATTGAACTGAATAATTGATCAGATTTATTAACTAAAATTTTAATCCTTAATTTGTGTAAAAACGCTTTTTGAAAGCCTAATTACAAAAAATAATTGGATGATCAAACGAACTTACCAAGTGAAGTTCGATNCGTCATTTATCATTAAAATAATGATCCAATTGTATCGATAGTCTAATTTCAAAGACGGCCATTACGCCATTTAATACAGCTTCTTCTGCATCGATAAAAGCGTTTATTCAAATTATTAGTTGCCCAATAGATGGCGCAACCGATACAGGCTGTGTGCCCTGATGACCCCAGCCGAAGTTAATTATTCAAACTGGAATTGAAACTTCCCACTTTCATTTGTTACAAAAGAAGACTACTTTTAATTGAGTTTAACGCTAGAGTAGTACCTCTATAGTGATTGATTTCAGTCCGTAAAATAAAGTCTATGTATAAATAGAGATACCTATAGTTACAAGGCAGCCATTTTTAAAGCCACTGTGTACGTGTGGTCTGGTCACCCACATTGCACGCCTAATCTTATTTAGTTCCTATGTCATTAACATCATAACATTGTGACCATGCTGTGACCTAAGAATAAGCAATAAACGCCTCAATTTAAAACTCATTAGCAGGAAGTGTTATAATTACAGCCAACACAACACTGTATACCCTCTATAACTCTGCCACCACACGTAACAGTTGCGTAAACATACGACGAATGCAAATATTGAACGACAGGAAGACAAGCGTTCCTAGCCGCTGTTGGAGCTACTCACACATTGAATAATAAATAAATAATATTGTTCCAACGAATTGAATTATATTGTTGCTGAAGCAGAGCCTGTACATACATCAGAAAACTAACATTTTGTTAGGAAAATACACCAAGATACAACTGTGTCTTACTATTATCAGGTGATCCGTTTGCTCGTTTGCCTCCTATCACATAAAAAAAAAAAAAAATTTAGTTTAGTGAGCATCTAAATAAATACATATTATAAGTATGGTGATATTCACAATCGACAGCACATCAGAATATACATTTTTGTTGCAAAATCGCCCCTATCATAACTGCATAAGAAGCCACAGTGTTTACGTTGATGTTTTTTTATGCTGAACAAGGCAGATATTTGACCGCAATCACACCTGATGTTAAGTGAGATGCAGTCTAGGATAGTGCATATCTGCCCTGTAAGTGCCTTGAAAAAGGCCCGGATTATAGTGTTCAGGAAAGACATTATGAAATGAGATGTAAAAGCTGAATCAGTCACGTTTGTTCTAAAGCCTCTCTTAACACTAGGCGGAAGCTACACACTGTACAGGTTTAATTGACTAAATTAGAGGGCTAATCAAGCACGTTGTCACCTGCCACGTAACGCTTGCGCAAGCGCAACGGACACGCGCATGCAAATGTCGCGCGCCAGGAAGACACGCGTTCCTACTTATACGTATATGTACTGGACTTGGTATAGGTTACTCAATACATACAAGTGCGTAGTGGGTGCTATGGGTAGAGACCCATTTGCTTAAAATGTGTGTGCCATGTCATTCACAGAGGAGTTACTATTCTCTAATAGTAACGCACACATTTTAAGCCTAAAATTTCAATTACGACATTTTTATAGCTCTATTATCAAAATAACAATAAATTCGCAGCTCTCCAGAAAATGAATGACCAAATGAAGTTAGTAAAAGATGATTCTCCTATAAGGATTGAACTGAATTATATTGATCAGAATTATTAACTAAAATCGTTGTGTAAAAACGCTTTTTGAACGCCTAATTACAAAAAATAATTTACTTTTGTGACTCTAGATCTTACGAAAACGTCACTGTAATCGTCAAAACGTGCCATAGTTCTGGCATGCGCAGGCGCACGCGTCAACTGCACCGTTACGTCGTCTATGGCCCTTCCATTGTTTGATCGGCGTCTTTGATCAATATACCTCGATGGCGCTTCGATTTGATTGGCGATGCCGTAACATTTTATTGTAGCCATGAAAAATTATTGCGATTTAATTTAAACTGAACACCTACAGTTTTATTTCAGTTTTTTATTACATACTAGCGGCCGCCCGCGACTTCGTACGCGTGGACCCCGTTTTACCCCGTGGAATTTTGTTTAACGTCCTAATTTTTTTGTGTAATTTATCCCATTTGTCGAAGAAGGCTACAGGCTACATAGGTACCATGATGCTACTAATAGGAGCATAGTATCATAGAAAAAATACGGTTTTCACGCGTCACGAAGTCGCGGGCACACACGTCACAAACCATACTTACTCATAATTTCAGCTGACATAAACTGTAGCAAGAATACTCATCCAAAATTAGTCATTCTCAAAACTTCATGGCTCTCTCTCATGCATAATTAGCCATCAATAATAAATGTAAAGCAATTTCCTCAAAAACTTGTCCTAATTCGATGGTTACATAAAACCAATTTGGTCCAGTCAAAAATTGTTTTAGTTATCGACCGGTCGTGTAGGAAATCGATTTGAACAATTCGTTATACTTAACTTTCGTTCGATTCCGGTTTCGGTCATAAACTGAATATTAATGGGCCCAGATAGCTCTTGTTTATGATTATTTGAGAGAAATCTGCAATTCTGATGGATGAAACCCGGAAATATATTATCGCATACATTGACCTAAAGATTAACAGTAACCTTGGTATAGTATTTTTGCGGTAGCTTGATGTTTGTGGAATGATTTCACTACATAAGAGTTATAACAGAGTTAGAAATTAATATTATAACACTTCATTTCGGAAATACTGCTTAAATTTCATCATAACACGTTGTTCTTTCTATTTATAAATAGCGGCAGCCCGCGACTTCGTACGCGTGGATCCCGTTTCACCCCCTTAGGGATATAATTTTGCAAAATCCCGTCTCAGTGAGCACCTACGTTCTAAAATGAACCCCAATGCAGAGACTCCTAGCACATGTACCTAGTTTCTTAGGTTTCGCGATGAGTGAATGAGTCAGTGACCTTTCGCTTTTATAGATGTGGATAGATTTATTAGATTTATCAGTAATGTATGGTGTCCGATCAATGAACTTAGAAACAGGCGTCCGAAGTGGAGCGCCACATTTTGGGGTAATAAAATTGTAAGAATCACATCAAGTGCTTCGACTTCGCCCTTCTGTCAGATGAGGCGGCTCAAGCGTGCCCTTTCGTATTGCCCAACATTTCATCGTTGTTCCGCCGCTGCTCGATATTCGTGCGCGGCCACAATTAATCATTTTCGCGGATAACA